AGATAGAGTCTGGAGTAATAATTTCTCGCCTATAGGGATAGCTCGCACAGCCGTGTATGTGTGTGTTGGGATGGGAATAACAAGAGAGGGTTGCGTGAGACACTTGTTTTTCATTTGCGCGCTTGTTTCAAATAAGAACCCCAATCCGCTCCTGAGCTCCGCCGTTTCTAACCTACATTCTGTGCTTTCACACACAAAAACACATTCACAGACACCCACCCCCTGCATTGCTTTGCTTGGTGTAAACCCCGCGGTGGTTCCCGCGGCCTTGCCTGGAGACGAGGCCGATAAAGAAGTTGCGTTTGGCGCCGATTCCTTGTCCAGTACTCCGGGCCCTCAATTTCGAGCCACAGCATGCCGTAGGTGCCCGGATTGGCGTTGCCGGGCTTGATTTTGTATTTGGGGAGGTTGGCGACCATGGCGTCGATCTGGCCGGCCGGGTTGCCGCATGTGGGGCAAGGGAAGAAGTAGATGTCCACGTTTCCATGCCCCCATCCCAAGCATTGTAGATGGTGTGCGGGCAGTTGGGGTCCGGGTGGCCCGTCAACATAAAGCAGCGAATGACACCAAAGCTGTCCCTGTTGTATTTCAGGCTTCTGTGGGTGTGTGTGTGTGTGTGTGTGTGTGTGTGTGTGTGTGTGTGTGTGTGTGTGTGTGTGTGTGTGTGTGTTTGGGAGGGGGTGGGGGTGAGAGATGGGAGAGGGAATGTCCAGCGTGTGTGCAGTGGGTCGTGAGAGTGTACGTGTGTACGTGTGGGGAATTGAGGGCAGCACGAGTGAATACAGGTGGTCTGGTGGTAGATCACGCATGAAGCGAACCACACACACACAACCTACACACACACACACACACACACACACACACACACACACACACACACACACACACACACACACACACACACGCACAACCTACACACACACACACACGCACAACACACACACATACACACACGTGCACTCACGCTCCAGGCGTTCTCGTAGGTCTGTTGGGAGACGTCCACGCCATAGGTGGCCTCAGCGCCCATCGGGCACAGCGCCACGGCGACAAGAGCAGCGCACACCACTGCAGCAAACGCAAACACCTTCATCTTTGGCAAGCAAGCAAGTCAGTGTTGTTTGGAGAAGGGAAACTGCGTTGTTTGTGTTGCTGTGTGGGAACTTTTGCCTCACAAAACAGCACAACCCTGAATTCAGTCGATCGTCCAGCCGCGCACAATTTGAACGCGTTGCTGCGTTGTTGTTGTTGTTGTTGTTGTTGTTGTTTGGCGCGCGTTGCTGTTCTTTCTGCGTCTGCTGAGACACAACATGTCTCGTTGCTCCCCCGCTTCAGCATTCCCGTTCTCTCCCTCTCTCCTTCACACGCACGAACACGCCAGCTACGCGCCAACTACACGCCAACTACACGCCAACTACACGCCAACTGTGTGCTGTCACATCACATCATGAGTCGTCTAGTCTCACTAGCTCACTGACACTGACTGCACGCACACTTCAGCACTTCGTTTTCTGTATGTCGTTTTGTATGGGAAACATGAGCCAGTCAAGTTTCATCAAAACGGCGCGCGCATCGACAACCACCACCATCACTGGGTCGCTTGACACGCAAGCCGAGAAGCGAAACAAAGCCGCCAACCACTCCTCCAATGAACAAACATCACAGCCCACAGCAACACAAACCGCTGATCTTGCAAGATTTAAGAGGGAAGAAGGCATGCAAGCACGCACATAGCACAAAGGGCAACAAGAGAGGCAGGGGGACAACGTGCCTCAACACCAGCATAGGAATGGGACATCAACAACAACGCGGGAGTAGGTACAAACCACTGCGTGCACTCTCGCACACAAACACACACAAACACTCACAAACATTCACGAAACATTCAGATGCCTTTAGGCGTGGTCCGCCTCGGCTGGCGTGTTGTTCGTCGGGAGGACGGTTTGCTGGCGCTTCTTCGTTGCGTAGAAGGCGCCGCCAACAACAACGCCGACAAGCAGCAGCGCGCCAACAACGATGCCTGCAATGGCACCGGCGGAGAGGCCAGACCCGTTGGCGCCAGAGGCGGACGAGTCCGTGTTGCCGCTGGGATCGCCCTGCGCCACGTCATCGCAGCCGCCGTAGGCGTTGTTGCACTTGGTGGTCGTCGTGTAGGCAGGTGGCTGGGTCGTGTACTTGGGCGGCTGGGTCGTGTAGACTGGGGGCTGCGTGGTGTAGACAGGTGGCTTTGTCGTGTACTTGGGTGGTTGCGTCGTGTAGACGGGGGGCTGGGTGGTGTACTGTGGCTGCGTCGTGTACTGTGGTGGCTGGGTGGTGTACTGGGGTGGCTGGGTGGTGTACCTGGGGTAGGCGGGCCGCGTGGTGTAAGCTGGTGGCTGCGTCGTGTACTGTGGTGGTTGAGTCGTGTAGGCCGGCGCCTCAGTTGTGTACTGCGGTGGTTGTGTGGTGTAAGCGGGAGGCTTGGTGGTGTATGCAGGGGGCTGCGTGGTGTACTGTGGAGGCTGTGTGGTGTACTGTGGAGGCTGTGTGGTGTAAGCGGGCGCTTCCGTGGTGTAGGCGGGAGGCTTGGTGGTGTATGCCTTCGTGGTGGTGGTGTACGCCTTGGTTGTTGTGTAGGCCTTGGTTGTGGTGTAGGACGGGGCCTCGGTTGTGGTCTTGGGAGCATATGGGTTCTTCTCCGTGGTGTAAGCCGGTGCCTCTGTCGTGGTGGTGTACGCCTTTGTGGTTGTGTAAGCCGGCGCTTCAGTCGTAGTGGTGTAGGCCTTTGTGGTTGTGTACGCAGGTGCCTCCGTCGTGGTGGTGTAGGCCTTGGTTGTCGTGTAAGCGGGTGCCTCAGTGGTTGTGGTGTAAGCCTTGGTTGCGGTGTACGCAGGTGCCTCAGTGGTTGTGGTGTAGGCCTTCTCCGTCGTCGTGTACGGGTTGTATGCAGGTATGTCCTTTCCTGCTTGCATTGCAGCCGCTGCGTGCAAGAGCATCAGGCACGCGGCGGCGACCGCAAACGCGTGCAGCCGCATCTTGTCGGTCGTGCGCGAAGAGGTGTGCGAAGAGGCGTGCGCGGGGAACCGAGGAACGCTCGCTCAAAGACGAGGAGGTGGTCAGTTGCGGTGAAGGTCACGCACAGTGTGTGGGCCTGGTCCTGGGCTTGGAGGTGCTTGGCGTTTCCTCTTGAGGTCTGGTGGTGAGTCGCAATGCTGGGTGCAGATGAAAAATGAACTCGCCATCACCTCGACCTTCACAAATAGGGCGAGAGCGCTGCGCTGCAGCCGGCTCGCTCAAACCCCCGTGCAACGGCAAGCAGTTATGCCTGCAAGCTCGGTGATCTGGGAGGCGGGAGGGACAAGGGTGCGTGCACTCCATCCCTTGCATGTTCGTGTGCATGTTCACGCCAGCACGAACATGCACGCATGCGTGTGTATTGTGTGTGCCTCTGCACGTATGTGCGTGTTCATGGGAGCCGTGCTGCGCTGGGTGCTGCGCTGGGTGCTGCGTTGCGGCGCAGTACGTGGAGGGGATGTGTGCTGCGATACTGCGATGCCGCAGCGATGCAGCGGTGCGTGCAGGGGTGGCAGGTGTGCGTCGCATCAAAGAATAGCCCGGTGCGTGCACGCCACGCACATCATGCGCACGTCGTGGTGCCTCACAATGCCTCACCTATTCCTGTCCTTACAGACACGCCACGCCATCACCATCACCCTCATCATGAGCATGCTCGCCATGATCATGTAACTGCACTGCACTTGTCGTGCTGTTGCTGCTCCTTCTTTCAGGCCGATGAAGCAGTGCTTGTAGTTGTGCGTGCCAAATACACACACACACACATGCACGCACACATGCACGCACACATGCACGCACACATGCACACACACAGCTACCTGCGCGTGCATGTCAAAGGCAGGGTGTTCATCCCCGCTCCTCGCCGTTTGTTCGTGCAAGCAAACAAGCGGTTCGTGCCGTCTTGGGGAAAACTGAAGTCAGTCGCCACCATTTCCGCCGTTATTTCGAAAACACACAGCCAACAAGCACACACGATGAACGGTTCATCTTGGCAGTGCAGTGGGGACGAGGACTTGGTGGATCTGGACTTGGCAGGCACGGTGCTGTTGCGTGCTCTGGCCCTGCAGGACGTCCACCACGAACTAGCAGCCTTGGCAAGACGGCCAGTGTCATCGTATTTTCGCGTCACGTTGCTGCATGACATTCCCGCCTTTACACAGTCCACTGCAGACGTTGGTAGTGGTGTTCGCAGGTGTGTTTGTTGTGTTTGTTGTGTTGTGCTGTGTTTGCTGTGCTTGTGGTGCTTTGCTACGTTCTTGTTTCTGCTTTTTGTTGGTTGCAAGCGTCTGCAAAGCCCACACTGCAACTGCCGCTGGTGTTTGTGTGTGTATGTGTGTATTTGTGGTACATGTCGTGTCATATTTTGGACACCAGTCGCTTGCTTACACGCCCACCTTTTCCACACCTCCTTCGTTTTCCACCAACACGCACACACACGCACACTGCGAGCAGAACGGCAAGGCGGCGTGTGCATGAGTTGTTGCTGTGGGCGCAGGATGAAGTGTGCGAGCGTCCACACGTGGACGGCATGAGCTTCCACATGAAGGGCCGCATCGCACATCAGGCAGCCCATCATTTTCTGACGCTGTTTGTGCTTCGCCTCCTCGTGTATGTGGAATCGCACAAGGGGACCGCGCCCCTGCGACGCCGCCCGCGCGTCCCTCTGCACACGCAGTCCTACAGCCACAGGAGAAGCAACAACCTGCTCCTGGCAGATCTCTTTGAGCAGCTCAAGGCCACTGTGGACAAGCTCTCCTTTCCTGCGACGTTGGATGACGGAGGCTCCCAGCCGCACGCCACGTCGCCGGGACCACAGGAGCAAGCTCGGCAACGCAGTGTCCAATTTGCTTCTTGGCCAGAAATGATTCGAACCCCGAGGCAGACGGCCTCCCTCGGGCCAGGCCCCTCTGCATCTTCATTCTCCCCGCATAAGCAGGCTCCAGTACAAGAACCAGCACGGGGGCAACTCCCACGCAGATCAGGCACACGGCCCGTGTTTCGCGAGGGCACGCAGGAACAAGAATACTCTCAACAACAGCGACGCGCATCGCCCCCATGTTCACCATCACCGCAGTCGCCCTCCCTGTCGCCGGCGCACCTGATGTCGTCGTGGACGCCGGTGCAGCCAACGTCGCCACTCGCCTGGTCCACGTCCTCGTCTGCGTCCGACAACTCCATATTGTCGACAACGCCCTTGCCGTCGCCATGGCAGCAGCGGTCGCACCGTCGCCGCACACCAATGAGCACCGCACCCTCACACGCTCCTGCGCCAAGGAGTCATTCCACACAACACCCCCAACACTCACGCCCAAGGCAGCGGAAACAGCAGCAGGGGCATACACAACAGCAACAGCGCTGGCCAGCGCACACGCACCAGTCACCACCCTCACCATCATGGTCGTCGTCATCATCATCTCTATCAGACCCAGAAGAACAGCAAGAAGAAGCACACCAACAGGGGGCACAACAGGGCGAGGCAACAATGGAGGATATGCCATCACCGCGTGGACCGCGTGTGCCGCAGCCCGCAGCGCAACTCCTGCTTCGTTACGTCTCCCACGCTCTCAACCCTCCACCACCTTCATGAGCTGTGTGTGTGTGTGTGTGTGTGTGTGTGTGTGTGTGTGTGTGTGTGTGTGTGTGTGTGTGTGTGTGTGTGTGTGTGTGTGAAGACTGCGGGTGTATTTATGATGCAACTCAATGTTTATGAGGGCTCACTTCAACCGGGGTCGGTCGTGTCACCCAGGTGGCAACGTTGTATGAACAATGAAACAAAGTGATAATTAGTGACAAGCAATGCGGCGCAAGAAGCACAAGGATCAAAACCACTCAGGGGCAGGAAGTTTCACACGCAAAGAAATGACAGACAGACAGACAGACAGACAGACACACACACACACGCTTGTGTGACGTCAGGGAGAGGGTGGGCGCTGCTGTTGGTGCAGCTGCTGTTGGTGCTTGAAGGATTTTCCCATGGTGCGCGAGAAGACAACGCGTCCAAGATCGCGATCAGCGTCAGGCGTCTCCGTCCTCTTCTTTGCATCCAGCAGCAGCTGTGTGACCTCCTTGAACGTGGGCCGGCGCTCCGCCTTCTTGTGCCAGCAGCGCATCAGCACATCCCACAGCGGCTCTGAGCACACACGCGGCTGCTCAAGTCGTCGCCCCTCCCTCACTTCGCGCGCAACCTGGAGGAAGTGCACGTCGCTGTACGGCTTGCCGCCCTGTGTGCAGATCTCCCACACGGTGACAGCAAACGCCCACGTGTCGCTCTTCTCGGACAGGCGGTGCTCGTCAAACGCCTCAACAGCAAGCCACCGCGTCGCAACCTGCATATGGAAGTGGGGGGGGGGGGTGATGCAGGAGCGGAAAGCATGCATGTGGTTCAGCGGAGAGGACAGGCAGAGAGGCAAGCGACCAGCTACCCGGACAGACAGACAGACAGACACAGACACACAGACACACAGACACACAGACACACAAAGCATGCAAAACACGAAGCACAAAGCATCCACCCTTTCCGAACCTTTGGCAGCTCTTTGACGACAATGGAGGTTTTGCCCTCTGGAAGGCGGCGGCACATGCCAAAGTCGGCAATCTTGACCTCATTTCGGGCGCCAAGGAGCATGTTGCGGGCAGCAATGTCGAGGTGTAGCAGCCGCTTCTCAAGCAGATACGACAGGCCGGCAAGGATCTGGGAGGGGCGAGGAATGAGAGGGGAGGAGGGACGAAGGTGAGAAGGGAAGCGGGACAGAGGATACCCAACACACACGCACACACACACACACACACGCACGCACACACACACACGCACACACACGCACACACGCACACACATACACACACACACACACACACGCACACCCACACAGACACACACACACACACACCTGGAGGGAATAGTGGAAGACTTCTGGGAGTTTGATGTTGACGCGTCGCTCGAGGCCAACCCGGAGAACGTAATCAAGATCGCCGTAGCTGGTGGTGGTGTTGACGAAAGGGGGTGGGGTGTGGCAGGAGGGGGCAGGATGGGTGGAGGGAGTCAGGATAAAAGTGAACAGGGGGGGGGGGAGGGTGTGTGTGATGTATTGACATAGTGATGACCAACGTGTTTGTGGTTCAGCACTTACGGAACGAGTTCTTCGATGAGTAGCCAGGGCTGCTGCTGCAGACACAGGCCCTCGAGCCGGACGATGTTGGGATGCGCCAGTTCGGACAGAATCTCTGCTTCCCGCACAAAGTCAATCATGTGCAACTTCACGCGCACGTCGAATGAAGCGGAGAAAGGGAGATACGAAAGCGACAAGGCAACAGCGGCACACGGCGTGAGCAAACCAGAATTGTTGGATGAGGATGCAGCGAAATCAAGGGCAGAACAGTGACAATAACAGCGACGACAGCCACCACGCACACGTGTGTCCAAACCACCTTCCCTCTTACCTTTGATGCGCCCTGGCGAAGCGCTTTCACTGCGCGAATGTGCGGCGTCGGCACTCCTGGCAGCTGGTGCTCAACCTCAAACACAACACCAAACTGGCGTGTTTGTGTGCGTGAGTGAGTGAATGCGTGAGTATGCGCAATGTGAGTGTGTGCGAGTGAATGCAAAAGAGGAAGCAGCCTTGGTTGTTGGAACAAGTAACAGCACGCCACCGTGCACACAAGCTCGCGCGTGCATCCCCCTCTGCCCACACTTTGCTCAAACAAATCCATTGCCTGTGTGCGCAATCCTCCCCCCCCCATCCTCCAAGCAGCCACACGACCGACCTGCCCAGCGCCGATGGGCCGCAACATGTGGATTTCGTCTCGATCAACTTCAAGTCGCGACAACGCACCGGTCAGCTCGCCTGCCACCATGCAACGGGTCACGCGGTGGTAATGGGTGGTGGTGGTGGTGATGGAATAGAGGCGGTGGGTGTGATGGGAGGGGTGAGCGCAAAGTGGCGACGGTGGTACCGTGGTACGTGGCCTGCGGACCAAAAGTGGCATTGTCGGTGTCACACGGACAAAGCATGCGACACACGGGAAGATGCGAGCAGCACAAGGCACGCGTGCACCACCGCAGATGACAATGCCCTCGCTCTCACGACCGACAGAACTGGACCTTTTGTGCGCGCGACGGGCATGAACGGCTGACCGCCCTGAAGCGCGTCCATCTTGTTGCTTGCCTCCACCGCTTTGCCAACCTGGAAAGAGGGGGGGGGGGAGGGTTCATAACATGGGTAGGCATGATGTTCGACATGTCAACGTCGCTGTGAAGACGCAGCCAGACAGACAGCCAGCCAGACAGACAGACAAACATGCACACAGACAGACAGACAGACAGACAGACAGACACAGACACAGACACAGATGCAGACATATACACATACACAAAGATACACGCATCATGCGCTCACGTTTGCCGCGAGCTCGCGGGCGTCCTGTGCGTTTCGGGTGAAGAACATGTGGCAGGAGATGCTCTGGAGGTGGGCGTCGCACGACACAAACGCAAACGCGCGATCCTCCTTGCCCATGCACACGTGGCCCCACAGCTTCACCTCCTGTTTGCATGTGTGTGTGATGGTGTGATGGTGTGAGTGTATGTATGTGTGTATGTGTGTATGTGTGAATGTGTGTGCGAGGGAAAGTGTATGGCCCGGGGAATGGGGTTGTGGCAACGAGGAGGGTGTGGAATAGCGTGTTGCTGTGGTGAAGGGGCCAGAAGGGGCGCTCTGCAGGCGACAATCACCGCAACACGAAGCACAAACAGCACACAGACAGACAAAACACAACCCAACACAATAACACCACAAACACACCACAAACGATCAACAAACAGCAAGGTACACGTGCAGCAGCAGCAGCAGACCTTGATGTAATGGAACAAGAACTCCTCCTTGCTCTTGCTGTCGACGACGCGAATACCCTCCATCGACGCAATCAGGATGACGTGTTGCGCCTCGTTGTTCTTGATGCGGCGAATGGAAGACTTGCGACGCGTGAGCGACTTGACAGAGCCCTGCTTCTCCCGCTGGAGTTTGCCGAGGTGTGTGTCGATGATGAGCTGCAGGTGGTCGCAGTCGTCCTTGTACGCGTCCGCCAGCTCAACCTGCAGTGCCGGCAGCAGCAGAGCGGCACGCGTGCGAGGCGAAGAGGGGGGAGAGCAGAGGGAGCAGTGGGAGGAGATGGTGTTAGTGAGGAGTTGCGCAATGCCTTGAGCACTATGTGTGTGTGTGTGTGGGGGGGGGGGGAGCGGTAGGCGGTAGGTGGAGGAGGAGGAGGATGCGTGGGCGGACAACGGGGGCAGCATGCAGATAAACACACGTGCGCATGGAAAAGGAGTTGTGACACAGCCACATGGAGACTGTCAGACAGACAGAGAGAGGCGGACAGAGACACACACAGACACACAGACACACAGACACAGACAGACAGACAGACAGACAGACAGACAGACAGACAGACACACACACACACACAGACACACAGACACACAGACACACAGACACACACACACACACACACACACACACACACACACACACGGTGCAAACCTGCGTGAGGGGTGCAGAGGAGATGTAGTCGAGCTCTGCAATGGCGACGGTTGCGCCGTAGAGCGACTCAATCTGCTTGCGAATTCCGGTTGCCTCCTCCCCTTCGTCCTCAAATCCAAAGTCCACCGACCGCATGTCGTCGTCTTCGTCGTCGTCCACAACAGAAGACGAGCTGCATGCACGTGCACATGCGTGTTGTTGCGATGGATGTGAGAAGAGTCATAGCGAACGCACTGCTGGCATGGCACAGACACCCGCAGCGAAACAAGCAAAAAACTAAAACAAAAACAAAACAAAAGCAGCAGCAGCAGCAGCAGCAGCAGCAGCAGTCGCAAGAATAACAATGCGTTCTTCTCAGCAGCCACAACATCATCATCCTCAGCTGAAGTAGCAACATTACACTAGCACCATCACCACCCCAAGCAGCAGCATTACTATCGATCGACTCACCCGAGCTCAGAGAAGGACCGGCGCTTGGCTTGGGTGCACAGCTGTGTGGTGTGGTTGAGGAATTTCGAGGCGAGGGTCTTGTCTCGGAACTTGATGATGTGGCAGTAGAAGAGGCCGAGACGCGGGTAGTGGGAGAGGTATGCAACGCGCTTCGCATCGGAGGGGTCCAGGCACACGTGGGTGATGGTCTTCAGAGTCTCAAACGCCAAGATCTCCTGATCATCTTCCAGCTAGTGCAAGAAGGGTGTTTTGGGTAAGTGAGGGGGGGGGGGTGTGGAGGGAGAGTGGGCGTATTGCACGAGGAGAGAATGAAATGTGTGTGATAACGTGTTGTGTGTGTGCTGTGTGTGCTGTGTGTGCTGTGTGTGCTGTGTGTGGTGTGTGGGCTTGCATTATTGTTCCTGACATGAACCTGCAAGCGCGGTTTGTGACACACATATACAGGCACAGATACAGGCATAAATACAGACACGCAGGCAGACACGCAGACACAAAGATGGACACACATAGACATCGACATCGACAGACACACAGACACACAGACACACAGACACACAGACACACACATAGACATAGACATGGACACACCCAACCACCCACCCACCCACACACACACACACACGCGCGCGCGCACACATTCTCTCCCTTCACCTTGAGGCCTGCGAGGGAGACGGTGACGATGACGCGGCGGTTGTCCTCCTTGCGCTTCTTGAGCTTCTTGACGGTGTTGGTGACCACCTGCCCACCGACGATGGACCAGAGCGTGGAGCCGATGGTGGCTGCGGCGACGGGCTCGGCGCCTTTGTACACGGCGTGGTAGGAGCGCGTGTACTGGCGCTCCACAATGTCCATGGCCCTGTGCGGATGTACCTGCGAAGATAGCAGCTCGTACGCAAGTCGCTGCTCCTCACTCTCAAACGCAGACATGATGTACTGCTGGTGTGTGGTTGCTGTGTGGTCGATGTGTGGTTGGAGGTGCGGTGGATGTGTGGTTGGAGGTGCTTACGCTGGCTCAAGCAGCCGCTTTGTTGTTGCTTGCTTGCTTCTTGTCTTGCTTGTGTTGTTTGTTTTCCCCACCACGAGCGCATTACATGTGTTTGCCTGTCGCATGTCGCACAGACCCTGTGGTAAACGCGCTCAACTCGTTTAAAGTCTGAAGTTGCGACATCATGAAAGGTCCAAGTCTTCCGTTCGTTGCGTTTCTCTCTTTTTTTCGCGAGTCGTACAAAAACATGGCAAATATTCGGAGAGTGCATTGCTTCAGAGCCATTCATTCCGTTGCATCGTGTCCCACAACGAACAAGCGAGCAGAAACAACAAGCAAAAGCAAACGCGCTCTGAGAAGAAGGTATTGCTCAAGCAACCCACCCATGTGTCTTGCTTCTGCTTGCTTGCTTGTGGCTGACGTGGGGGTTTTTCCTTGTGCGCTTTGGCTTTGTGGTTTTTTTTGCGTGCTGTGGCTGCGTGTGCGTGTGTGCCTTACTCAACCTCCATTTTCTCCGCGCCCTTGCCGCATCACCTTTCTGTCTGCTTTGATCTCCCCAAGTGCACCACCACCTGTTCACGCACACACCCGGCACCGTGACGACGCTTTCTGTGCTAGTTCGCTCCCTTAGGATCAGTGCCAGAGCAGCTCGCGGGCTCCCCTCTGCCTCCTGCTCTTCGTCGCGTGCATTTCCGCACCTCGCCTCCACCCCTATCTCTTTGCGCACCAACGCCTCCAAGATGCCTCCCGTTCTCGAGCCCCTTGGCCCTGTGCACGCCGCCTACAGGGATACCCAGAAGGACGCCCCGTACGAGACCAGCGCCGTCTCTGGTCAGTGAACAACAGCAAGCAGCAGCTGCGGCTGCTGCTACTGCCTTGGCCTTTTTTTTCTTCATTTGCTTGGTTTGTTGGTTCTTTCTTTTCTCGTTTCCCATCTATCTTCTTGTCTCCGCCTACCCTTGCTTCTTTCCATGCATGCATATGTGCGTGCCTGCCTCTCCCTGCACTTCTCCTTCCACGTCTCTCTGTCTGTCTCTGTCGCCAAGCCAACTCTCCTTCACAACAGACAGCATCATCCGGCGTCAACCATCATTGCCTCACCCACTTTGCTTGTCTTTCTTCGCCACTGCACCAACTTTTCGGGGTTTTCGATTGCGCAATCGATCCGTTTGGTTTTTTGGTTGGCCTTGCCTTCGGTACACTTCGCTTCCCCTACCAAACCACCACCACCACCACCACCACCACCACCACAGACTGCTCCGTCAACCCTTCCAACCACACGCTGGACAACCATGGCATCGGCAACGTGCACCAGGAGCACTGGAACCTGCCCACGGCTGCCCTGTACGAGCACGCCGTCCACCGTGGTGAAGGCCACATTGTTCACCTTGGGCCCCTCTGCGTCCGCACTGGTGTGTGCGTGTGTCGTTTTTGTTGCCTGTTATATGCATGCATGCATGCTTGCATGTCGTGTTGCCTGTTGTTGTGTGTGTTATATTGTTGTGATCGTGATCGTGTGTGTGTGTGTGATATTGTGTGTGTGTGTGTGTGTGTGTGTTTGAGGCAAGTAGCCGCGCTTCTCACTGATGCGCTCCTCACTGATGCACATCATGCTTGCACATCGTCACCCAATTCACCCAATTCCCACCATCACCTCAACACGCTCACGCCTCGTCCCTTCCGTTTCCTTGCCCTGTTTCATGCAGGCAAGCACACTGGCCGTGCTGCTGGCGACAAGTACTTTGTGCGCGAGCCCACCTCTGAGAAGAACATTGCCTGGGGCGATGTGAACCAGGAAATGTCCGAGGAGGCCTTCAACTGGCTGCATCGCAAGTGCATCGCCTACCTGCAGAACCGCACCGTGTACGTCATGGACGTGCTTGCCGGCCACGACCCCAAGACGCAGATGCCCGTGCGCATCGTCACCGAGACGGCGTGGCACGCCCTCTTTGCCCGCACCATGTTCGTGCGCCCCACGGACGAGGCCCTCAAGACCCACGTGCCCAAGTTTACCGTCATCCACTGCCCCGGCCTCAAGGCCGACCCGGCCCACGACGGCACCAAGTCGTCCACCTTCATCTCCCTGCACATGGGCAAGGGCCTGGCCGTGATTGGCGGCACCCACTACGCCGGCGAGATGAAGAAGTGCATCTTCACCGTCATGAACTACTACCTCCCGCTCAAGGGCATCATGACCATGCACGCCGCCGCCAACGTCGGCGACGACGACCGCACGGCCATCTTCTTTGGCCTCTCCGGCACGGGCAAGACCACGCTCAGCGCAGACGAGTCGCGCAAGCTCATTGGCGACGACGAGCACATCTGGTCCGATGAGGGCGTCGCCAACATTGAGGGCGGCTGCTACGCCAAGGTCATCCGCCTCTCCGCCCAGGCCGAGCCCACCATCTGGCACACCACCCGCCAGTTTGGCACCGTCCTGGAGAACGTCATCATGCACCCGGTCACCCGCACGCTCGACCTCAGCGACAACTCCATCACGGAGAACACCCGCGCCGCCTACCCGCTGCAGTTTGTGCCCAACCGCCAGGCCTCTGGCTGCGGCGGCCACCCGGCCAACGTCATCATGCTCACCTGCGACGCCTTTGGCGTGCTCCCGCCCATCTCCCGCCTCACCCCGGCCCAGGCCGAGTACTGGTTCCTCCTCGGCTACACCGCCAAGGTGGCCGGCACGGAGCTCGGCGTCACCAAGCCCACCGCCACCTTCAGCGCCTGCTTCGGCCTGCCATTCATGCCGCTGCACCCGACCGTCTACGCCAAGCTCCTGCGCGAGAAGATGGAGAAGCACAACGTCAGCGTGTGGCTCCTCAACACGGGCTGGTCTGGCGGCCCATACGGCGTTGGCGAGCGCTTCAGCATCAAGCACACCCGTTCCATGCTTGCCGCCGCCCTCGACGACAAGCTGCAGGACGTGCCCCTGAAGAAGCACGAGACGTTCAACCTCAACATGCCCACCTCCTGCCCCGGTGTGCCCGAGGACGTGCTTGACCCCCGCAACACGTGGTCCGACGCCGCCGCCTACGAGAAGCAGGCCAACGAGCTGGCTGCCCTCTGCGTCGAGGGCTTCAAGCCCTTCGTCGACGCCGTCACCCCAGACGTCCTCGAGACCGCCCCCAGGGCTTAAGCCAAACTCTCACTCACACACGCACACGTACACCCGCATGCGTGTGTATGCATGTGTGCATGTGTGTGTAGAGTTGCCGTGATGTGCGTGACACATGACATTGAAAATGTTGTGGTGTGACACGACCTTTATGGCATTTCGTTTCGTAGGTGTTGGTCGCTTCTTGTTGTGTGTATGTTTTGTCGTGCGATGTTGCCTGGATGAATCGCCCTGCCATGAGTTTCCCTTGCTTGTGGTAGTGGCACACAACAACAACAACAACAACAACAACAGCATCAGAGTCTTTGTTGTTTTGTTTGCATGTTCTTGTTTGCATGTTATGTTACAACTGTGTGTATGTATGTATTGTAGCGGTTACACCCATCACCCCTTTTGTCTTCCGCATCCCTTGCTTGCTCCATCGTCGTCAATAAAGCACACACACACACCACCAACACGAAACGAGACAAGTGAATGTGTGTGTGTGTGTGTGTGTGTTGTTTGCAGTTGCGTTGTCAAGCAAGAAGAGACTGCACCATATCCGCCTCGGCTCGGGACGGTTTCTTGTTGCGACACCATAAATTGAAATTCCTCGTTTCCAACGCCAACAAACCAACCAACCAACCAAAAACGGCTGACACGCAGGACAGCAGCAGCGACCTTGTTGCATTGAGCATTGATGTTGTGAGAGACCTGCCAGCTTCCAACACACACACACACACACACACACACACACACACACACACACACACGTATACACACACGTATACACACACATACACGTAGCTCCTCTTTGCTGCACGATCAGCAGCGGTAGAGATGGAGCCACACATCCCCACACGCGTAGTGGATCGCATCCAGGTGTCGCGAAACAAGTTCAGCTTCTCAAGCGCAGGTGCGGTGCACATGTGTGCGTGTGTGCGTGTATGTGCGTGTGTGTGCGTGTGTGCGTGTGTGCGTGTGTGCGTGTGTGCGTGTGTGCGTGTGTGCGTGTGTGTCTGTGTGTGCCTGGTCACATTGCACTACAACAGCTGCTCAATCTCCAAATATCGTACAACCCACGCAACCTGGCTCATCATCATCCATCGATCTTTGAACCTGCTGTTTACTGTGATCTGTTCGCACTCGCAGCCCCACCTCCCAGCTTCCTGCAAAAGTCCTCTGGCCGGAGGCATCACAGAGGTGAGCGCATTCGTGTGTGTATGTGTGTGTATGTGTGTGTGTTTTGTGTGTGTGTGTGTGTTTTGTGTGTGTGTGTGTTTTGTGTGTGTGTATGTGCATGTGTGCGTATGCGTGTGTGTTTTGTGTGTGTGAGCATGCGTGGATACGCTCACGCTTGTCTTGGACTGAGCGGCCATCCTGCCTCTCCCGCTTTCCGATCACTGATGCTGTGACACGCCGAAGGTTGTTCCCACACACACACACACATTCAGCATCCACTGAGTCATCGCCTATTGCTCTGCCGGTATTCCACTCACGCACTCGTGCACTGAAACAGATGAATCACCACAGCTGTATGACTCCCATGTTCCTCGCGGCTTGGTACGATCACAGTCATATGAATGCACTTGACTGGCCTTCTCGAGCCTCAACACTGTTGGTCTTAACACACACACGCACACGCACACACACATACACACACACACACGCACGCACACAAATTGCACACACACACACAAATCGCACACACACATGCATGCACAAACTCACACACGCACACACACACACAAATTGCACACACGCACACTGAACAGAGGAAGACAACGGTGCCACAGATGCTCAACAGGGATGGAAGGTTGCCGCCGTATGATCCCCTGAGTGACCCCCACCTCTCCGATTACTTTGCGCGCAAGTTCGGCTGGACAGCGGCGGTGGAGCCGCCACGCAAGCGGCCCATGCCATATGGCTCCGGGCCCACATCCGCTACATCTGCTCGGCGCCGTGGCGGTCCCGCCTACCCGGCATCCTCCTCCTCCACAGGTAGTGTTGCGTTGGTGTGGTCGGTGTTGCGGGGTGTGCAGGTGTGCTTGCATCAGTGTGGCGTTGCAGATCTGGGGCTTGCAGTTGTGCATAATGTTTGACCATCTCCTCACACATGGTCACGTGCGTGCGTGCATCGGTTCTCCTGACATGAAAACAGGTACAAGACGGGGGAGGCCACACGCGCACCGGGGCACAAAGGGCGCTGGTCGGCCAACCGTCACCTACAGCGTTGAACTGCACACATCATCCCAGTCAAGCAAAGCCAGCAAATCAGAGGTGTGCGTGTGTGTGTGCGTATGTGTGTGTGTGTGTACGTATGTGTGTGTGCGTGTGTGTGTACGTGCGTGCGTGTGTGTACGTGCGTGTGTGCGTGTGCACAGGTGTATTGTTCTGTATGCTTGTGGTGCGGTGGTTCTTGAACGCTCGCGTTCCCCGTTCCTGGTTGCACACTTGTCCTCACGTTGCAAACAAACTTGCTCTTGTCCTGCACCCATGACGGACAGAAATCCATTCGGCTGATTGGCACAAAGGGCAAGTCTGACAAGGTGCGGCTGGCGGGACCGGGTGTCCACTTCAAAGCTGGCAGCAAAGACAAATTCCAGATCACCTGCCCCTCCGTGGGACAGCTCACAAAGGTGTGAATAAATGCGTATGTGTGTATGTGCGTGCATGTGTGTATGTGTGTGCATGTGTGTATGTGCGTGTATGTGTGTGTTTGTGTGTGTATGTGTGTGTATGTGTGTGTGTGTGCTTTCATGCATGTGCTGGTGTTCGTGCGTGCAACTGTTTGGCATGCATGCACTTGTGTGTCCGCCAGGGCGCTGCTGGTTGCAGGCTACTCGTGTGAGCAACTGCCAGGAATTGCACGACAATGTTCGCGTCCTCACCCCAGCTTTGTACCTCCTTGCCTACACGCCGCTACCTTTAGGTCGTGCTTGAGAACCACTGTCAGCACAAGAAGGAAGCGTGGAACGTGGGCCAAGTTGTGGTGAAGCGAAAGAGCAACAAGCCAAAGACATGGCGCATCCCAGCCCGCTGCTGGCTCAGGTGATTTCACAGGCAGACACACATGCTTGCATGCACGCGCTTCTATGCACCAGTATGAATCTCAGGCAGGAGCCTTCAGCACAACCACAGACACCCATGCAATCTCGTTCATGCTTGCTTAAGTTACACACACCCCACTCTACTCACCGCCCTCTGTTTACCGTTCCCTGACTCTCCCTCCCTGCACCTTTCTCTCCCTCCAATTGCGACCTTACTTGTTCAGCCAATTTCACGGCGACGGAAAAACGAAGCGGACACTCCACGTGTCTGAGGGCGGCGGCGGTGACGGCTCATGTACGCCAACACGCGGTGTGATGGTGTGATGGTGTGGGGTTCACTTGCATGTGCATGCGCATGTACACTTCTGCTCGGTTTGTTGGGTTCTTGGGCACAGGCCCTCCTTTCTTTGCGCTCACGTCACCTGTCGTGTATGCACAGCGACATACGATGTGGAGGTTTACACGGGTGACAAGTTTGGCGCCGGCACGGACGCGCGTGTGTATGTGACGCTGATCGGGGACAAAGGAACCTCACCCCGCATCGAGCTGACGGGCAAAGGCGACCTGTTTGAGCGAGCACAGACAGACAGATTCACCATCGACACGCCTCGACTTGGCAAGCTGAAGCAGTGCCATGTTGAGCACGACAACTCGGGCATCTCGCCAGGCTGGCTGCTCGATCGCATTGTCGTCACGCACGCGCGTACGGGAAGCCGCTACGTGTTTCCTTGCAACGACTGGCTCTCACGCAAGAACGGCCTGTTCAAGTCAGTTGAGGGTTTGCTCCCCGTATTGTTGTGTGTGTATATATGTGTGTGTGTGTGTGTGTGCGTGCGTGCGTGTGCGTGTGTGTGTTTACGTATGTGTGTGTGTGTTTACGTATGTGTGTGTGTGTGTGCGTGCGTGCACATCTGGCGCTTGCTGTTGATGCCGCTGTGCACGCTCTGTGCACGCGTGTGATGCTCAGCACCCCCAATCTCACGGCACTGCATCTCATCTGCACATGTGCACATCGTCAATGCCGCGTCGCGTTTGAAAACAGAGAGCTCTCGCCAGACAAGTCGTCCGGTTCGCGTGCGGGCATGACCGATTACGTCATCCACACATACACGGGCGATCGACGTGGCGCCGGCACAGTGCGTAAACACGTCCTCTGTGGCTGTGCTTGTGCTTGTATTTTTGGTTTTGGTTTTGGTTGCGTGTGTATGTGTGTACGTGCGTATGTGCATGCATGCGCTCTCATGTGGTTGTGGTTGTGCATCATTTTTCTTGCTTTGCTGACTCATGCCGTTGTTTCGATGGAATACGCCTGACAGGATGCAACCGTTTCAATCATTCTCTTTGGAGAAAACGGCCAGACAGGTATACACAGAGCGCCCTGTTGCGTTGGCACTCCCTCGCATGACATCGTGCGCACCTCATGAACTGTCCTTCGATTCCACCAAGCACACACACACACACACACACACACACACACACGACACACACACACACACACACACACACACACACACACACACACACACACACACACACACACACGACACACACACACACACACA